GGGCCCGCAAAAACAAAAAAAAAAAAAAAAAAAAAAAAAAAAAAAAAAATTAGCATAGATATATCAAGGTACAAAATTTCTGCAATTATCAACACTTACCAACATTTCATTTTAGTGTCTTCAGCTGTCCCTAGGAAATTTACAGTATCTCAGTATGTCTCACATCTAAACTGTTGTTGTGGTCTCCAATATTTTATTTAGTTCCACCTTCGTCATCCAACTGTTCTTCATCCTACTGTATGAAGCTTACAACAGCTTCTCTGTACCTTTAATCTTCCTTTCTCTGAATACCACTAGTAGACAAATATGACAGTGTATTTACAGCCATGCTCAAGAATCTAAAGTGGCTCCCTGTTCTCTACCTCAGTCATTCCAAGCCTTTATTTTCTGACTTTTAAGCCTCTCTTACTGGATCCGTCTTATCTCTCCAACAGTATTTACTTTTACACCTTAGCACAAATGCTTTGATTAAACCCCTCAAAGTCCTTCACATATTGTTATACCCTCCTTGGAACGCCTCCTGTTTGTCCTTTAAAGCCCAGATGAGTCCCATCCCCTCAAAAAGGCGGTGGGGGTGGGGGGAGTGGGGGAGAAGAAAGCCTTTTTCTATTGTTCACACTCAACTTGTTCTCCTGCTTTTCTGAGCTCTTGTACTCGCTGTTGAACTACATAGTAAATGAGAGGTGTGATACAGCATAGTGGTTAAGTGCATGAAATCAAGAACCAGACTGTGTGTGCATGGGTTTAGAATCTAAACTTTAGACCCTGCCTCCGCCACTTACTACTGGGTGACCTCAGGCTAGTTAATTAACCCCTTTGTGCCTCAGTTTCCTCATCACTAAAATGGAATAGTAGTATTTACCCCATGGGGTAATTTTGAAGATTAAGAGATTTAACATATGTAAAGCATTTAGAATAGTGCCTGACATAGTATTATAAGTGCTTTCTTTATAATCAGTATGGTCAAAAACTTGTTTATTCTCAGGAGTTTTTTTTGTTTTTTTGTTTTTAATGTATGGTGTTTTAATTTTCCCAATTAGATAGTATGCTCTTTTAAGGCAGGGTATTAAATTTTTTGTTTCAGTTTCTCATCACTCATGATAGTTAATCATGAAAACTTTTTGGCTAATTTGATATCTCTGTAGCCTGTGTTACTGTGTGAAAACTTTAATAAGCTCTTTCCTTTAAATGAGCTACTAAAGGGAGACCGTGGGAAATCTCTAAGAGACCCAGGGACGTTTTAAGCATTCACCTTTCTGGGGTTAAAGGGCTGGTAAAGATCTATGATAACTTGTACATTATAAAGTAATCTGTAGACTTTGGTAGTTTAAGCTGAGTGTGTTTTGAGGTAGGAGCAAGAAAAAATGTAGTTTTTGATATTTAATGTAGAATTAACTTTAATCTTAGTTTTAAAATGGACCACTTTTCATTTATAGCTTATAGTTAAACTTTTTATGAAGAATGGAATAATCTTTTGTTTTGTAGCAAATATTAATCTTTATTTAATTAATCTTCCGTGTCAAAATATTCTTTAATTAAAAAAGATCCCTCCCTTTTTTTCCCACAGGGCTTCCTGATCCATTTGCTAAGGTGGTGGTTGATGGATCTGGGCAGTGCCATTCTACAGATACTGTGAAGAATACACTTGATCCAAAATGGAATCAGCATTATGACCTGTAGGTTTAAACGATTTATTTGAAATGAAACATGGAATCACTGTTATTTGATATAGTCTTTGAAAAGAATCACTGAATATGATCTGAGTTTGATCTGTGGTGTAATTTGGTCCTCACAGAGGGATGCAAAATCTAGTGTGAAAGTACTTTGGCTTATTGATAGCTGGTTTTGGAAGGTGAGCTATGCTTAATAAGTCCATGAAGAACAAAACGGATACACAGTATAGAGCAACCCCCCCCCCACACACACACACCTTTTTTTCAATCAAATAAAGGTATTAATTCACTTTAGGTCAGTTATAAGTATAAATCAGAAATCATAATTGGAGTACACTCATAGGCATTCTTTTTGTTTCTTATATGGATGGTTTCTTTCTTCTAAATTTTATTTTAATCATAGTAGCATATGTACTGTTTTTAAAAAAGCAGATGATACTGTAGGTCTTTTAATGGGAAAATGCAGTTAACTGTCCCATTCTTATTCCTGATTCCAATTCTCAGGGTAACTGTTTTCAATACCTTTGGCTGTTTGTTCTAGAATTTTCTTCTGCTTCTAGATATCATGCTTATTTATAGCATTTAATATAAATATATATTTATTTCATGTTAGGTATTATTTTTACATTTTCTACCATAGAAAATGATGTAGCTTTTACAGCTGCTATCTCTCATCCCATTCCTACAACATCCACATGACCCTTTCCTTCCCCCAGTCCTCCTGTAGAGTTATTTGAGCCTTTTCGGTTACATCATTGTTCTGTGTTTATGCTATTATGATCATGTAAATATTCATAACTGAGTCACGTGGTGTGCAGTGATTACATTTTCTTTCTTGACAACTTCTGTTTTTATGAAGTTAGTAACTGTCTAACTTTGCCATTTGTTTAGTTTTCCATCTCATTAAGAAATTCACAAACTCTCTTACAGTACTGAACGTCTCCTCTGCTTATTTATGTTCACCACATGAGATAGTCTATTGGCTTTGTTTTCTTCTTGGAGATAGCCCTCCTAGAGCTTCTATGCTTTACTTCAGTCTGGACTGGTAGTTCTCTAGGATCTTCTGCACAATTGTCCTGGAACTTGCCTTTATCAATATGTTGGGAATTTCGTTTCTCTCTTCTAAGTCCAATGCCTTCCTTTTTTTCTGTTTACTTCCCTGTTTTTTTAGATGTTGGGGGTAGGAGTTTATTAATTAATTAATTAATTTTTGCTGTGTTGGGTCTTCTTTTCTGTGTGAGGGCTTTCTCTAGTTGTGGCAAGCGGGGGCCACTCTTCATCGCGGTACACGGGCCTCTCACTATCGCGGCCTCTCTTGTTGTGGAGCACAGGCTCCAGACCTGCAGGCTCAGTAGTTGTGGCTCACGGGCCTAGTTGCTCCGCGGCATGTGGGGTCTTCCCAGACCAGGGCTCGAACCCGTGTCCCCTGCATTAGCAGGCAGATTCTCAACCGCTGCGCCACCAGAGAAGCCCCTACTTCCCTGTTTTGGTGAAGTATGTCTTCCATTGTTATCTTGAGGAAGAGTACAAAGATGGGGAAAATTTCTTTGAGATTATGTCTGAAAATATATTTTGTCTTCTTACCTGGTTGATAGTTCGTCTGAGTATAGACTTCTAGGTGAGACATCACTTTCCCTTCAAATTTTGAATACATTACTCCACTGTCTTCTAGGTCTAGATCAGCACTGCTGAATAGAAATACAATGTGAGCCACAAATGGGAGCTTATCTGTAATTTTAAATTTTCTAGTAGCCACATTAAAAAAAGTAAAAAGAAACAGATGAAATTAAACTTAATATATGTTTTATTTATCTAAAATATCTTCATTTCAACACGATATCAAAATAAAATAATCGAGTTGTTTGTTTTTTTGTTTATTTTATACAAAGTCTTTGAGGGACTTCCCTGATGGTCCAGTGGTTAAGGCTCCGTGCTTCCACTTCAGGGGCACAGGTTCAATCCCTTGTCGGGGAACTATCTCGCATGCTGCGTGGTGCGGCCTTTAAAAAAAAACCCCCCAAAACAACGAAGTCTTTGAAATCAGGAGTTTGTTTTGCATTAACAGAGTGCCTCAGTTTGGGCTAGTTATATTTCAGGTACTCAGTAGCCACATGTGCCTTGTGACTACCATTTTGGACATTACAAGTTTAGAGTATTGCTGATGGCATCCTGATTTTGGTCCTTCATGATTGTTGTTTTCCACTGGAAGATTTCAGGGTATGCTGTTTTTGCCTGATGTTAAATTTTTTAACGATGGACTTGGTATATCTGAAATACATTACTAGATACTTACTGTGGCTTTAATCTGGATACTTAAACTCCTTAGTTATGAGAAACTTTTCTATTTATTTAATCATCTGTAGATGATTTCCTCTTCTCCATTGTATTTCTTTCTCTCTTTTACTTTTTCGAGAACTCCTGTTATTTGGATGTTATCCCTCCTGAATTGATCATCATTTAGTTGTCCTTTTTTCTCTCATATTTTATCTTAGTTCAAAAAAAAAAGTTATAATAAAAAATTAAAAACTACCATGAAATATTTGGGCTGTTTTCCCAACTTTGTTTTCTAGCATTCCTATTTATTGTAATTTCTGCTCTCAAATTTTAAATTTCCAATATCATTTTGCTTTCTGACTGTTCCTTTTTCATAACTTACTCTTATTCCTAGACGCAATATCTTCTCTGATGAGAGAAGTATTATAATTGTAGTTTTTTTCTGTTGTATTGCCTCTCTTTTCTCAGATTTCCTTTTTTTTCTGTTAGTTTGGTTTGGATTTCTGTCTTTTTATATTTAAGGGGAGGCACTTAAATGTTGATTGGAAACTCTCTACCCATGGGTAGAGCTGATCAGCTTGGTAGGGTAATTAGGAGTAACTGTGGCATTTTCTGCACAGAATTCTCCCTCTCCTTCTTGGGGGCTGTATTCCTGGATGCTTGTGTTCATGGATCTGAACGGCATAGGGATGCTAGGAGGTCTCTCCATTCACTAGATTAACCTCTTCTTAATACCCTGTTTTTATTACAGAAGTTCACCTCCTGCCTCAGCTGTGCCTAGTGTCCCTGAGTGCTGCCAGGTTTTGAGGATGAATTAGGTTGGGGAAAGGATTCAGGAGGTCTTTCCATTCCACTTATTTATTTTATTTTTTTATTTTTTAAATTGAGGTATAGTTGATTTACACTTTCCATTCCTTTTAAATACTTTGACTTATCATTCTGTTTCAGCCTCATCATCACCATCGGAGTATATTGGGCTTACAGTTTGGGAATATTTTGGGGCTTGGTGGCAGTAATAATCTTGTTTCAGGGAGTTATTGCTCCTTGCAGGCTTAGGTTTCAGTTTTCTACAGGTTGCTAATTCAGTTATCATATGCTCTCTAAACTTCTCCCGTTTTGTGAACATCTCCCAGGTTATAAACATGTTAAATGTCCTGATATCCCGACTTTCCAAGTGTTTAGCCTTTTAAGCTTCACAGTCATTCTATTTCATGCTTCATCAACATCAGCTTTTCTTCCAGATGTTCCACTTGTCTTTACCTACTATCTATGTAGCTAAGCTTTTGAGTTCTTAATCAGATTCTTTCTTTTCCTTTTTTGGCCGTGCTGTGCAGCTTGCGGGATGTTAGTTCCCTGACCAGGGATCGAACCCGTGCCCCCTGCAGTGGCAGCACAGAGGCCTAACCACTGGACCACCAGGGAATTCCCTTGATCAGATTATTTAAAGCCATTTCTTTTAGCTTCAGTCAAGTCTAAATTCAGCCAGGGAACCAGCTACAACAGTGAACAAGACATAGTCCTCCAAGCTTACAGCCACGTGGTATATAAAGACAAAAAATAGGAAAGTATAAACAGTGTGATGAGAATTTGTATAGGGTGCTGTGGAAATACATAGAACTTATTGACACAGATTTAGGAGCTGGGGAGAGCTTCCTAGAAAAAGTGGCATTTAGGCTTATACCTTAAATAGGAGTTAACTTGAGGATGGAGAAGGTGGGAAGGCTCTAAGCAAAAGCTGTCTGTGTGAAGATCCAGAGGTGAAAGACAACGTGATTCTGAAAACAGTTCAGAGAGGCAGCATTGGTAAGTTCACATGTAAGGTAAGGGGAGTGTGGTAAAAGACAAGCAGTGAGAGGCAAGCAGGAGCCAGCTCATGAAGGTCCTTGAAAGCCTATTAATAAGTTTGAAAACTCTCTTAAAAGCAATAGGGAGCAATGAAAGTGTTTTAAGTGGGGAAATGCTATTATCAGATTTATATCCAAGAGTGGACACTTTGGCTGTAATGTGAAGAATGGCCTCTAAAAGGGAGCCAAGAATGGCCAAGAAACTAGTTCCAAGATTATGAAGGAAGCTGTCAAATAGAAAATAACTTAATGTTAGAAAAGCGATAAAGTGAATGGAGAGATACAGACATTGTAAGTATTTTTAATATGGCCTTCAAACTTAAAAAAATTTTTTTCCTTGGGGAAAAAAAGTGAAACTGTACTAAACCCTGTGCTTTGCTGGATTTGGCTCACAGGCTGTGGTTTTCCTGTGGACCCCCTCCTTAGAGTCCTTGCTTTTCTAGCTTTGCTGCTGCTACAGTCTTTCTCAACACAGCAGCTAGAATGATCCTGTCAAAACGTGTATCAAATCTGGTTACTCTCCTGTTCCACATCCTCCGTTGGCTTCCTGTTTTACTTAGAGTAAAAGAGTTCATACTGTGGCTGACAAGGCCCTTTATGATTTGTCCCTTGTGTTGGTTAGATATAATAGACTGATATAATAGACAACCCCACATTTTCAGTGGTTTAATACAATAGAAGTATATTTTGTATTTCCCTGTCCATTTGGCAGGGAAGCAAGACACTGTCACATAGTCATTCAAGGATACAGGCTGACAGAATCTCCCTTGTCTTCAGTGTATGTTCCCAAGGTGTCTCTGGGCTTTGACATCCAGCCTCCCAAAAGGACGCTTAAGCCATTGGTGGGTGGGCTGCTCTAAGGCCTCAGGGAACCAATATTTTAGCATACCTGTATATCAGGCTTATCCATACCTGTTTATCAGGCTTATCAGTTGGGAAACTGATTTAGTGTGATTTTTTTTTTTTTTTTTAATGTTTGGTTTGGGGCAATTTAGCTGGTTAATACTTAATTCTGATTCTAGAATTTTTACATATCATGCAGGTACATACTTGCCAAGTTAAGTCTGTTTAGGTGTATTTGAAAATTGATACATGCATACTGAATGTTATTTTAGTCCAGATTTTTTCATTTGCAAGCAACAGAAATGAAATTCAAATTGGCTTAATTATTGAAAAGTATTAGCTTGCGTAATTAAACATATACACACTACTATATATAAAATAATCAACAAGGACCTACTGTGTAGCATAGGGAACTCTATTCAATATTCTATAATAACCTATATGGGAAAAGAATCTGAAAAAGAATAGATATATGTATATGTATAACTGAATCACTTTGCTGTACACCTGAAACTAACACAACATTGTAAATCAACTATACTCCAATATAAAATAAAAATTAAATAAAAAAAAGTATTAGCTTGCATAATTAAAAGTCTAGAAGGGTAGGCATGCTTTAACACAGCTGGATCCAGGGCCTCAAGTGTGCCTTTCACGTTACTCATTTAAAAGTTTTAGGGCTTCCCTGGTGGCACAGTGGTTAAGAATCCGCCTGCCAATGCAGGGGACACGGGTTTGAGCCCTGGTCCGGGAAGATCCCACATGCCGCGGAGCAACTAAGCCTGTGCGCCACAACTACTGAGCCTGCGCTCTAGAGCCCACAAGCCACAACTACTGAAGCCCGCGTGCCTAGAGCCTGTGCTCTGCAACAAGAGAAGCCACCACAATGAGAAACCTGAGCCCCGCAACAAAGAGTAGCCCCCACTCACTGCAACTAGAGAAAGCCCGTGTGCAGCAGCGAAGACCCAGTGTAGCCAAAAATTAAATAAATGAATAAATAAATTTATTAAAAAAAAAGTTTTAGTCCTTACTTAAGTGGTCTAGGCTTTTTTATATACCAAGTGAATTTTTCTGATATTACTGCTTTATTGAATGACAGTTTAAGGTCAAGGTTGCTGGACCAAAAATTTGACCTCTTAGAGTCATTGAAATTTAGGGTTCTACTGATATAATTATGTTATTTTATTATATTTTCGCATGGGATGACACCATGTTAACAATTGGCTGTGGTAGAGCTTCTCCATACTTACAGGTATATGCACAGACAAGTAATAGTAACGCTTTCCCCTGCTCTGCTTGTCTGCAGGCAGTGAAGTGAAATCTGCAAGAGTCCTGCTCGCTCAAGGCCTGCATACAGGAGAGAAGCAGGGGAAAAGCGTTACAATCAGCTTTTGTTCTACAGCATTTTAAAATATAACAGGTATGTCAGATTTTTGGTCTGTCAGCCTTGACAATGCCTCTTGAAAATGAACTGAGTATTCGCTGAGGTACTAGGTCATGTCATTGAAGTGTATTTAAAATGTGACTGTGATAAAAGTTTTTCTAAGATTTTTGTTTTGGGAAAGAAATAATCATAAACTTCCATAGGGTTATTTGACACTAGCTACTAAAATAGTTTTTTTTTTTTTTTTTTTACTAACAAAAATTGTTACTCAGCCTGAGACTGGCAGGTATGATAAAGAATATATTAAAAATTCTTTTTAGATTTTACTTTAGAATTAAAAAAAAATTAAATTCAGTCCTGTGGATAGACTGAATTCAAACATATTTTGTGTTATCTAGCCATACTCAAACATTTGTGACTTTAGACTACAAAAACAAAAGAAAAATTTTATACTAACTACTCATAATTGCCAAGTTACTCATGCAGTCATTTTGTTTTATATAGGTATATTGGAAAGTCTGATTCAGTTACGATCAGTGTATGGAATCACAAGAAGATCCATAAAAAACAAGGTGCTGGATTTCTTGGTTGTGTTCGTCTTCTTTCCAATGCCATCAACCGCCTCAAAGACACTGGTTGTGAGTAGATACTAGTGCTTTTAAAAATTTAAATATACATATTTAAATATATATACGTATGTGTATTTTTTGATGGGAGAGGCAGGGGTCTAAAAACTTAATTTCCTGTGTGTGTTTGAAACATTGGTAAAAATTTCTGGTCTAAATTTACTTTGTTGACTTTTTAAAAAGAATGAAACATTTTAAATATGTGAAACCTAGAAATGAATCAGAGCTGATACTTAGTATCCAGTGAATTTATAAGTGCTAAGAAATGACTGATATCCAGAAGAATAAAAAGAGGGAATTTCCTGGCGGTCCAGTGGTTTAGGAGTCTGTGCTCTCACTGCCTCGGGCCTGGGTTCAATTCCTGGTCAGGGAACTAAGATTCCACAAGCCATGCAGTGTGACGTGGCCAAAAAAAAAAAAAAAAGTAAAAAGGTGTCAAAGTATTAAATGTTTATTTTATTACTTAGCACTCATCTCTGGTTTAGGTGGATTTGTGAGATAAAGGGAGTTTTATTTAGGTCATTGGAGTGTTTAATGTAACAGTTAAAGGGGAATTATTAGTGAATAAAAATGACATATAAAACTGCTCTGAAAAATTAAAAGTTATAAAGGTAAGACATTATTTTGAGTGTAAGACAGCTGTATTAACTGCTTAACTGTAGCTAAATTTTTCACCAAACTGGTCATTTACAAGATTAGATCAAGATCAAGACATTAGAAGCAATTTCTATATTGGGTTGACAAGTTGACTTGTTAGTGTATGTGTAATTCATGTAACCAGATGACAGAGCATCTTTTTGGGGGTATTTCCATTGGGACATAGATGTAAATATCTTTTTCAACAGAAAATTTTTTTCTTTTTCTACAGAATTCTTTTTTATATAATATAAAAAATATTGCTAGCTGTTGTCATGGGATTGTAGTCCAGATGCCTATTCTAAGCAAAAATTCACATAGACTCCAGCTAAGGAAATTAATAAATAAAAATAGTTTGAATTTAGCTTTGAATGTTAGATATATAATATTAAGAGATGATCCCTTTTAATGTAGTATGATACCACAACCCAGTTATAAAAATATTACTGTTAAAAAGTAAAAAGGAGAAAATTGAGCTAGAAGTTCTGAGGGGAATTTAAAGGCACCAGAGAATTTCTTATATTTCTGGGTTGACAGGGTGACCAACAGGAGGTAGAAGATGTTGGGATTGGAAAAGGTCTAGCATATAAAAAATGAACCATTTTTGGGACTTCCCCAGTGGTCTAGTGGTTAAGACTCTGTCTTCCAATGCAGAGGGCATGGGTTTGATCCCTGGTCGGGGAACTAAGATCCCACATGCTGTACAGTGCAGCCAAAAAAAACCCAAAAAACAAACAAAATGAACCATGTTATTCTAACCCAATGCAGCAGGCAAACTGAAGACTTGTTGTATGTATGACCTTATTTCTGGTTCAATTTAGCCATTATTTATTGAAATTTTTAAGTGTCAGGTACTGTTTGAAACCCCAGTGATAGAAAGGTGAAAAAGGCATGAATGCTGTCCTCTGAGAAGCAAGGGCAAAGGCCTGCTGGCCGAGGGAGCAGGACACGTTAGAAGGAGTGAACAGAAGAGGCATTGCTCTGCACAAGTCCACTGTATAGCTGTCTTATTAGTGTCCATTTATTTTGCAAAGGGATAAATAAGCCAGGTGGGGCACAGATTTTCTTTCTGCTGCTTATGAATGTTTCATTGCAGTAACTTATATGACCTTTTTGATGTATAGTAATATTTAATTTATTAAGCACCTGGTGTAGTTCCATTCTATCAGGTTGGAGTGGAGAATATAAAAACTTAAGATATGGTCTCCTCCTTTTATCAATTCGTGATTTACTTAAGTAGACAGATGGCATACAGCTATAAAGAGAATTCAGTTATAAGTGCTGTAATCAAAGTAAAACCAACATGCAGTGGGTGACATTGTTCCTTACTGTAACTAACCAGGCCAGTGTTATATCTGTTTTGTAGGTGAGGCATGAGAGAAGAAGTGAGCTGCTTCTAAATGAGTTAGTACCAGAACTCAAACCCTTATGTTAGTTTATACTTGGCTTCTTATTAATACTTACTTTGTGTGTGTGGGAGTTATGTGAAATGGTTAGATAAAAAATAACAATGACAACAACATTTATTGGACACTTATGTGCTAGGTACTGTGCTAAGAGTTTTACATAACCATCTGATTTAATCCTTAATAGGGGGTAAGTACTACAATTATACACGAGAAAATCAAGACTTGGGGATAAATTGCTTAAGAACAAAACTATTAAGTGGCAAGCTAAGACTTAGACTGAAGTGTTCTGAAATCTTTGGAGAGAAAATACTGCATGTTGGCACCAGTGTCTTATGGTTTTTGAAATCTGAATTTGTCAAAACTTTTGTCAAGACATTTATACTAATATTATGTACGCAGTTAGAGAATTTTAAACATTTGTCTCATCATTAAAACTTGATTAATTCTTTAAATGATTGGTCTGATTTCCAGTGGATTGTAGAAATTTACTATCACTCTGTAGATGTGAGAATCTCTGATACCAACTTATTTTTTGCCTTTTGCTGTTGTTGATTTGAAATAGATCAGAGGTTGGATCTATGCAAACTTGGGCCAAATGACAATGATACAGTTAGAGGACAGATAGTAGGTAAGTGTGGAATTGAAAGTTATGTGAATTTTGGCTTTATTTAAGCTGACCTAAACTCTAAATACGTTTAAAATCAAAGTACAGTAACTGTAGCTTCATTGTATTGGCATGAATTAAATGAGTCATGTAAAATTATTCAAATAGTGGATGCAGAATCTAGGACAACTTAATTTTTTTAAAAAGCAAAAAAATACAAATAATGTAAAAAAATAGGCTCCTAATGTGAAGAACTATTGATCCTTTAGGAAGGAATTCTTTAAAAGTATACAAATATAGTAGAACACTGAGATAGACTTTATAGATGATACTAAGGTTTTCTGAAAGTAATTCTCAAACTGGTTTTTGAGTAAGAAGAACCAGTTTAATGCTTTGCAGTTTTAAAGTAATCTTTACTAATTGAAAAAAATAGAATGGTAGTATAGCACTGATTGGAGAAAGGGAAAAATTGTTACCTTACTCATAAGGCATTTAGTGGGCTAGTGGGGTTATCTTGAATTGGCCCCTTTATATAAAATTTCCTGAGACTTATCTTAAGAATTGATAGATTGAGATTTGATCAAGATACCTAGAATGGTAGGGCACTGAGGTGGGCTCCTTTGAAGCTTCTTAAAGAAGTAACAGGCAATTGGAACCTTACCATTGCGTTATAGAGCAGAATTTAGAATAACATGATTGCATTATATGAACCTATCAGAGAGGTTTTAGTTACAGGAAGGACTTAGCTTTACAAGGCAATGAATTAGGTTCATAGAGAGTTGCCAAAGTAGCATCATAACAAAAGTCCTATTCTGGTTATCGCAGGGAAATATCTACACTACAACGTCATTCATAATTCCTGTCATTCTTAGATTGAGAAGGAAGTTGAAAACTCAAAAATGTGGAATACACAAATATACCTTTCATGTGTTACGCCTCTTTTTAAGTGCACTAGCGGCCTTGCGTTGCCCCATTAGGATGGGAAAAAAGGAGTTAGACTCTCCTCCGTGAACATGATAGTGATAAAGAGAAAAATCTCATGGACAAAGAAATTGCAGGGGCTTCCCTGGTGGCACAGTGGTTAAGAATCTGCCTGCCAGTGTGGGGGACACGGGTTTGAACCCTGGTCCGGGAAGATCACACATGCTGTAGAGCAGCTGTGCCCGTGCGCCACAGCTACTGAGCCTGCGCTCTAGAGCCCGCGAGCCACAACTACTGAAGCCTGTGCGCCTAGAGCCTGTGCTCCGCAACAAGAGAAGCTGCCGCAGTGAGAAGCCTGCTTACTGCAATGAAGAGTAGCCACTGCTCCCTGCAACTAGAGAAAGCCTGCGTGCAGCAACGAAGACCCGACACAGCCAAAAAAAAAAAATTAAAAAAAAAATTGCAGAATTTAGTAGAAACTAAAGAGTTCGTTCTTAAGTATTAAAATAAGCGAAGACAGGTGTCTTTCAAAGAGAAATATTTTAAATTGCAGTAATTCTTTCTAGTTCTGTGACTCTTAGTAATGTTTTTGTTGTTTAATAGTAAGTCTTCAGTCCAGAGACCGAATAGGCACAGGAGGACAAGTTGTGGACTGCAGTCGTTTGTTTGATAATGATTTACCAGATGGGTAAGCAAAATCCATTAGGTAATATCCCTAAAATAATGAGAAATAAGTTGGTGTTTATATTTAAGTTTAGAAATTTGCTGATCAATTCCAAAATCTAGGTTTTTCTTGTACTTAGAAAATTAGTGAGGGATCTTATCACAGCAAATTCGTAAAATAAGCCGTGAATTAGATAAGTTACATATGTTTTTTAAGAGTTTTGACTAGGAGACAAATCAAATTTCTTGACAAATTTAAATCTCCTGTAAATATTATATATTCAAAAGGAAAACTTTTTTGATTGATTTAATTATTCAAAACAAGGCATGCTGAATCTGAGGCATTGCTCTATTTAGAGGGATGAGATACAGAATTTGTGTAATAGTAATTACAATAACATAGTAACACTTATTGAGCCTGCAAGTGTCAAATAGTGTTATAAGCACCTTATGTCATTTATCATTACATATATATCATTACATGATATTCATTAGATCATTTAATTCTCATAATGTGATTCTGGAATTAGACCATTTGGGTTCCAATCCTTACTCTTCTGTTTACTAGCTTTATGAATTTAATCAATTTATTTGACTTTTGTAAGCTTTGGTTTATATTTATTTATCAAAGAGGATAATGATAATAGTATATATGCCATCAATAATTGTGAGGATTAAATGAAATCATTCATGTAAAGCACGTAGCACAATGTCTTGCATAGAGTAAGTGCTTAATAAATAATTAGCTATTACTACTACTACTGTTGCTACTATTATGACCCTCATGCATTTTACAGACTTACAAAACTGAGACTCAGAGAGGTTAAGTATTTTGCCAGAGGCCACATAGAAATGGCAGAACTGGAACACAGATTTAAGCCTTGATTCCAAAGCTTATGCTTTTTGTCATTGCTCTCTATCTTTGTTTCATACTAGTTATGAAACCTTACCGATTTTATTTTTAATTTTCAGAGTATTTTTAATTAACTTCAATGAGGTATAATTTACATACAATAAACTATATCCATTTTAAGTGTATAATTGGTTGAGTTTTAAGTTATTTTTGACATGAAATTTCAAACCTAAGCTATGGTATTTGCTTATTTTGTGTAAGCTGTTAAAAATTGCTGTAATTTGTTTATGGATGATTTTAGCTTCTTGATATATCTTAATTTTTATGGATTTGAGGTGGATTATGGTACTTTTGAAGGGGAAGTTTAGGATGAAATAACTAGTCAGTATTGAGAGATTACAACAGTTGTATGGCTTATTCTAAATTTGTTCTACATTATTGTACTATAATTGTAATCACAGGGGAAAAAACCTGTTTAGCATCTTTTTATTTTCTATTGTTTAAGGCGTCCAAACCTCTGCCAGTGGTTTGGTGGAATATTAACATAACATAGGCACTCGCCTAATTTTTTTGTTATATGAATTAATAAGATATTGAAGAAGAAGTGGCATTATTGCTTTTTAAAAAATTAGTTTGAGAAATAGCCCGTGTTGGTGAGGTTGTGGAGAAAAAGGAGTGCTTGTACAGTGTAGGTGGGAATATAATCAGTACAGCCACTGTGGAAAATGGTAGGGAGGTTCTTCAGAAAGTTAAAAACGGAATTACCATTTGATCCAGCTATCCCACTTCTGGGTATGTATCCTAAGAAAATGAAAACACTAATTCAAAGAGGTATATGCACCCCTTTGTTCATTGCAGGATTACTTACAATAGATAAGATATGGAAGATAGGTAAGATAGGGAAGCAGCCTAAGTGTCCATTAATAGATGAATGGATAAAGAAGATGTATTATACACACACACACACACACACCAGAATATTGCTCAGCCATAAAAAAAGAATGAGATCTTGTCATTTGCAACAACATGGATGGATCTAGAGAGTATTATGCTAAATGAAATAAGTCAGACAAAGACAGATACCATATGATTTCACTTATATGTGGAATCTAAAAAATAAAGCAAACAAACAAAACAGAAACAGACTCATAGAAGAACAAACTCTGTATTGGTTTGCCAGAGGGGAGGGAGAGGAGGGGAAATTGATGAAATAGGTGAAGGGGATTAAGAGGTACAAACTTTCAGAAAATAAGTAAGTCACGGGGATGTGATGTACAGCATAGGGAATATAGTCCATATTGTAATAACTTTGTATGGTGACAGATGGTTTCTAGACTTGGTGATCATTTTGTAGTGTATAGATGTCAAACTACTATGTTGTATACCTGAAACTAATATAATATTGTATGTCAACTATACTTAAAAAAAACTCATAACTTTTAGTAGAAAATATGTAAGAGAAAATAAAAATCTGAAGATTAAAAAAATTAGTTTGGGTAGGCTAAATGCTTTAAAAAGCTTTTATATACTTTTCTAGTTAAATTTAATTTTTTAAAATGATGTATAATTTCTATTTTTAGTATGGTCTTTTTCCCCCCATTAAATTCTGGAGAAATTAGTATAATTTAATTGAGCATTGTTGACATCATTGAAAAATTCTCAGTTTGGCTGATGGAAAATATTAGTCACACCTCAGTATAAATATTTTAAAAGCTTCAGATTTCTAGAAGACATATTGTACAGTTCTAAAATAAGTTGAAACAATTCCTATATTCTGTGTATTGCTTTTTCAATTTGTCATTCCTGATTCATAACAGCAAATGTCTTCCTGGCTTGTTCCAAAAACATTCCATGTCCGGCTTCCTGTTACTGCTTTATCTCTCAATATTTTTATTTAAGCTGGGAAGAAAGGAGAACTGCCTCTGGAAGAATCCAGTACCTAAACCACATAACAAGAACTACGCAATGGGAACGCCCAACACGGTAAGAACATACAAGTATCTTCCCATGGTCTATGCTGTTTGCCCTCCTGAAGTCCCTTATCTGTTTATCTGTCAGTTTTACCAGATTTCCTTTCTTGGTTTAAACTGCTCTAGATCAGTAGATCTTATAGCAAATGCCATTATTATTATTAAATTTTTTTTTTTTGGCGGTACGCGGGTCTCTCACTGTTGTGGCCTCTGCCGTTGCGGCGCACAGGCTCTGGACGCACAGACTCAGCGACCATGGCTCACGGGCCCAGCCGCTCCACGGCATATGGGATCTTCCTGGACCGGGACACGAACCCGTGTCCCCTGCATCGGCAGGCGGACTCTCAACCACTGCGCCACCGGGGAAGCCCTGCCATTATTATTTTTAATAAAGGTTGCTTAGCAGGTCATCCTGTTATTGTAGCTCCATGGCCTGTGATGGTGTTCAGTAAATATTTATTAGATGAGTTAAATGAATACATTGAGAAGTCATCTTATTTCTAGGACTCTTAAAAATTTTTTTGAGTCCATTATTGAACGGCTGTAACAAAATATGTATACAGGATCTCCATTTATTCAGTAATGTCGGGGGATGATTATATTGTGTCCAGTAAGGTCTTTGACCAAGATAAGAACCAGATGCTCTGAGACCATATGGAGGGGCACCTGACTTAGAGTTGGGGGCAAGATGGTAGAACTTGCAAAGGAAAACTCTGAAGGAGGAGAGTCTCTGAACTAAATCCTGAAGGATATGAGGATTTAGCCAGGTCAGGGGAAGGTGATAAAAAGTGTTCAGGGTAGTGGTAACAGCTGTCATTCAGTTCACCAAATTGTTATATGCCAGACACTGTGCTCAGCATTTGGGCTATAACCATGAATAAGGCAGAAAGGCTTTCCTGGAGCTTAATGTGTAAAGTCATGGGGATGCAAGATAAGTTTTGAAAGCTTCAAGGAAAGCTCTTTAAGTAACTGAAAATGAATAGGATAAGTGGCTGGATTTCCTTTTTTTTTCAGAATAAGAAAAAAGTTTATTTGCCACCTCTACTCAGTGTTTGTTTTGCTCCTTCTTTTTTTTTTTTCCCTGAGCAGGCCTGGCACCAGATATAGAACATCAAATGCTTCTCATTAGCTATACTTTTATTTATTGGGAATTAATTGCTTAACTCATTGAACCACAAAGTTTTCTCTATTATACTGTGATTCTCAGATGAAAGCTTAGCTTATGTTGCCATTTTAAAAAGTGCTTATTTGAGAGTTGATTTATAGTATTAAACTGCCAAGGATTATATGGAAGTCAAAGAACCTATTTTTATCATATCTGAGTGTAAATAAATGTGTACTTGTGTCAGTGCTTTAGTGAAGTCTATTTCCTTCTCATTTAACTGATAAAACTGACTTTAATTTCCACATGTATAAAGTCGATTGTGTTGTAAATGTTAGTTTAAAAATTAACTCTTAAGTATCCTCTTAGTTTGGATGACCTACAAGAGACTGGAAGCTCTTTGAAGAGACAGACTGTCTTTCCTTTATTCACTCAATATTTATTGAACTACTACTCTTAAATATATGCTAAGCACTACTCTAGGTGCAGGGAATATATATGGTGGGGAACAAACTAGGCAGACTTTCTTCTCTCAGTAAATATTCTAGTGGGGGAAGACAGACGAAAACAAGGATGCAAATGAGAAAAATATCAGAAGTAACTGCCATGCTGAGGAAGTAAGGTGAGGTACTGTCAAATGCCTGGATGACTACTTTAGATCTGAAGGTCAGGAACGACCTCTTAGAGGCAACATTTAAGCTTAAGCTAAGATTTGAATGATAAAAAGGAGTCTGGCCTAGAGAAAATAGGAGAAAAAATCACTCTAGGTAGAAGGAAGGGCTACTCTCCAGCACTAAAGGTAGAACGACCATGGCAAGCTTGAGGAGGAGGAAGAATGTCAGTGTGGCAGAGGCAGAGTGGGAGAATGGTGGGGACGCAGGTCTGAGGTCGCCTGTGGCTAAGCCAAGTAAGGTTTGGTGAGCTCATACTCACATCTACAAATATATGTGGATTTCATATGAAATGTAATTAAAATCAATATAAAGTGATTTGAATACGTAATTGATAATCTGCTTATCACCTGGGTTTCTTTGGTGCTTTGAGGCTTTGGGTTTGCTTTTATTGAGAGTTCTTGAGTCATTATATTTATATTAATCATTCCATTTTCTTACAAGTGATTGTTATTGCTGTACATACATTGCCTATAAAATTCTGCTTTTGGTATCTGAGTTGAGTAACTTTTTTTCCTTGTTTCTTTTCGATAGACCAGCATCTGAATATTCTAGTCCTGGCAGACCTCTTAGCTGTTTTGTTGATGAGAACACTCCAATTAGTGGAACGAACGGTGCAACATCTGGACAGTCTTCAGATCCCAGACTGGCAGAGAGGAGAGTCAGGTCACAACGACATAGAAATTACATGAGCAGGACACATTTACATACTCCTCCAGACCTACCAGAAGGCTATGGTATGACAACTAGCAGAGGAAAAATAAAGTGTGTTTTACTGATTTCAGCTTGCTAAGAAGCCAGAAAATCAACTTTTAAAGAAGTTATTGATCTGGGTTTAGGAATTCTGCATGAAAATCAAAGTAAATGTAAAACTCCCCAACTTTGAAAAGTCTTTGAAGTGGTAGAAGACTAACGGCACTTTGACTTTGGGCTATAGTCGTTTAACCTTAACCTTTTTGCCCAGTTACAATGAAATGAGATGAATGATACCTCTCCTTTTCACAAAGGTATTGTGAGAAGCATATGAAACAATGTGAGACTGCTTTGTAAACAGGCACTGTAAAAAGTGAGACGGTGTTTTTCTTGATAATGGCAATCTGAAGTCAGACTTGTAATTTTCTAGACGTGCATATTTAGAAATAATTTAAAAAGCATATTTCTGATGGTATTTATATATTGTATTTGTATTGTCTGTAATTTTGTGTTATCTGAGTGATTGGGTTATTGTAAATGATTTAGTCACTTCTGTGTTTGTGTAAAAGTACTATAATCTTATATAATTTCCTAAATTTTAGAATTCCATGTGAAAGATGACATGAATCTTCTCATAGTGGAATACAGAACTTCCTAAACTCTTGTAGTATGACCTCAGCTCTTCTCTCCTCTCTTGCTTTTAAAAGCTTAACCAAGTTACTTAACATCCTTGCCCTTTCCACAGCCTCTAGATAAACAGTTCTGGGCTGATGATGACACCTAGTGACCAACATTGGGAGTTGCCTGATCTATCTTGTATTTTATTTTTACTCCAGAATGTTTTTTAAACTTACACAAATGCATCATTCTTACTTTATTTTTTAAGTATTTTAACTATTTAATTTTTTAAAAAGCCGATTTTTCCATTAATTGAGCTAGGCCACACAGTAGTTAGAGCATGGGCTTGGGAAACAGCTGGGTTCATATCCTGGCTTTGCTATATATTAGTTGTGTGACGCTGGGCACATTAACCTGTTTGAGCCTCAGTTTTATCTTCTGTACTATAAAGTGGGGAAAATATTATTACCAACCATGTAGATTTGTTGCAAGAAATAAATGAAATTTCATGAGAAGTTAAAATTTAGTTGTTATTATTAATGTCCAGACCTTAGAATCAAGTATCTCCTGGCATTCTTTTTAATTGAGATTATAAGGCAAGTGGTTTGGAGTGGGGGTGGTTAATACTTTATACTTTTACAATATTTGTGTGATTTGGATTAAAAAAATTTTTTTGTACAACCAAAAACATAGGAGTAAAGTGGGTATCAAGGCTGAAATTATTGCAGCTGTCATCTAGAACCAGTTTTAAACATTTTTACATTTATAATTTTAAAAGTTTAAATTGATTTTTATTGCAGGTTTATAAACAAATTTATACTAATAAATATTAGCAATAGTTTTATTGTTTCATATATTGGAATTTTTCATTAGATTTTGTTTTTAAAAAAAGGTAGTTCTGTTGCTTGAAAACATAGTAAATAAAGACTACAGACCACCACTGAAGAAACCCTTTCACAAATTCCTTCTCTTTGCCCAGGCCTCCTCACTCTCTCCCCAAGGGCTTTGACTTAAATTTGCCTGCGGCGTTTTTCCCCCAGGAGGCATATGTGCTCTTTAGTCTTCCTGCTCCTAACTTGATTATTTTTCCATCATTGCTTCTTTTAAACTATAGGGTGTCTCTTCTATATTCCATCTTTTTTGCGTCTGAGTCCAAATGTAGTCTTGAGAATACACCTCTCTCAAGGAAAGAAAAAACATAAGTTTTGATATAAAATTAGGCATAATTTAAAAAAGCATTACCAGCCTGCAAACTCTTTGAAAGTTTCTGCAAATCTCTGAGACTCTCCCCAGAGTTGGTTAGCCTCTTCCTCTGAGCCGTTCTGTTTCCCTTAGGCTCCACATTTAAGACAAATAAAAGATAATTTCTTCATGTTTGTTTTATTTAATTATTGGTACTGTGACAATCTTGTTTTCTATTTTCCATTGCAACATGTTTAATATTTGAGCCACATTATAAGTGTAGTTGGCTTTTAAATAGCTGGGCTGTGACCCTCACCACCGTTTATAAGACTGTTTCCAGGAGAAAATGTGTTCTGAGTTCAGAACAAGTGATTTGTAAAGCAGTTCTTTTGTAATAAAATAGATTGGTAATTTGGAGAGTTTACCTATTAATATAATATCATCCTAGTGTTTATAGCTGTTTTTGATTTGGACATTCTGAATATGTTTTTATTATTAGTGTTTCTTAATTTTACAGAACAGAGGACAACACAACAAGGTCAGGTGTATTTCTTACATACTCAGACTGGTGTGAGCACATGGCATGATCCAAGAGTGCCTAGGTAAGAACGTATTCTAAATATCCTTCATACCACTGAATATCCATTTCACCTAGGATTTATTTGATTATTTAATCTTTAACTTCTTAAAATAAATGATGTAAAAGTTTGGCTCTTTCTGATCATATTTTCAGTTTGACGTTTAGTAGAAAGTCCTACTTACTTCTCTGCAACCCTACCCCAGTGCTGTACCACCCAACCAGTCTCCAGTTCCTGTCTCCCTCCCCCTTAAAAAAATCGAGGCAAAAATGTGGGTCTTGTAGGAATCTGAAAATTGACCTGGGGAAAACATACATACCCTTACAAAAACATACATACCCTTTTTTTTAAGGGTAGTAAATTGATATTTTTATTTCTGGTTAGGCTTTTTTTAAAAAGGTTTGTTTATTTTAACTTTATATAAGTGTATTCAACCTTCGTTTCATTTTAATGTAGAAAAGGAATAACCCAGTTCACATAAATTAATTTTAAATGCCAAAATTTGTATGTTTGAATTGCAGGCCTTGTTGAATGCATTTACTAACCAAAATGTCAGCTGTCTTTTAACTTTAAGAAGATGGAATGACACAAAATCAATTTAGTAGTTTAACACAGTTTCTGGTACATTTTAGTATCAAATAATACATTTTATTTTTTTTTTTATTTTTTTATTTTTTTTTTTGCGGTATGCGGGCTTCTCACTGTTGTGGCCTCTCCTGTTGCGGAGCACAGGCTCCGGACGCGCAGGCTCAGCGGCCATGGCTCACGGGCCCAGCCGCTCAGCGACATGTGGGATCCTCCCAGACCGGGGCACGAACCCGCGTCCCCTGCATCGGCAGGCGGACCCTCAACCACTGCACCACCAGGGAAGCCCCAAATAATACATTTTAAACCACTAGCTATTTTGAATTATTTTCTACTGAACAGATGGAGAGTGCCAAGTAGTCCAGTTGAAGCTGCAAAAAAAGGTTGAGTTCTAAGTGAAATTCTAAATCAACTTTATAAGCTATACATTTACCTTTGTTGGATGAGGATATTTTATATATTAAGTGCAACATTCCTCTCTTCAAAAAAAAATAGTCCTATGGAGGGTCAAGAGATCTTTTTCTGCCTAAAGTTTGTACTCAGAGCTCTACTTGTCTAGAGTCATGTTTTTGAATTGAAAACAGTTGTGACTAGCTGATTTTGGATTGCTTTGATACTCTGTTTATTTATAAATAAAGCTATTATAATGAAAATGTTTTCCTTTTTTTCTTTTGGTCGCGCTTTGCGGCTTATGGGATCTTAGTTCCCTGACCAGGGATTGAACCTGGGCCCCGGCAGTGAAAGCACCGAGTCCTAACCACTGGACCGCCAGGGAATTCCCAAAATATTTTACTTTGTGATAGAGCTTAATCAGAATCTTTCGAGGGTGGCAGCCAAGGAAATGTGTTATCATTAATTATTGTATCAAGGTTGCCATTTCTGTGTCTTCATGATATAAGCTGTTGATTTAAAAAAAACAGTGGGGAGGAAATTTTTGTTTTATTAATAAGCTCACTGAAAAAAATCTAAGTGCCTAACTTTTAGAAATAAGTTTTGATATGTAAATTTTGAAGTGTTTTGGGTTCTGTTTATCAGGTTGAAGGTCAGTAACAAACTTTTCTATAACATAATTTAAAATCATTGGAAGGAAATGTTTAGAAGAAAAATGATTTTTTAAAAAAACTGAATGATTTACAACAGTGGGAAAGCTGATCTTGAGCTGCTTTTTTCCCCCAGTACGTGGGCCTCTCACTGCTGCGGCCTCTCCCGCTGCAGAGCGCAGGCTCTGGACGTGCAGGCTCAGTGGCCATGGCTTATGGGCCCAGCCGCTCTGCAGCACATGGGGTCTTCCCAGACCGGGGCACAAACCCGGTCCCCTGCATTGGCAGGCAGACTCTCAACCACTGCGCCACCAGGGAAGCCCTTGAGCTGCCTTTTGAAAGAGTGGTGTGTAAGCTGGAGTTGGAAGTTGAAACAGAGAGATTTTGGCACCACAGTGGGCAGTGTGTTCTTACTCCTAAGGAAACAATGTTGGTTTTTCATTAATGAATAAGGGGTTTCTATAAAGATTTAAGAATATTTCATATTGAGTATTGAATAATGACTTTATGAAATAACGCTTTGGATTATATTTCTTTTCTTTAGTCTCTATGCTCCAAATTGTTATCTTAAAATATATTTTGTTTTGGGGGATCCTTTAGTGAATATGTCTTTTGTTTGGAGGATCTTTTATCAAAGCAGAGTATAAATATTTAGATTCTATTAAAATATCATTACTGTCCAATCAAAGACATTTATAAAATAGTGTCACTCAGACACTTTAAAACTAACTTTATGTAAAGATATCCAGTAAACTTAGATTTATCTGAGAAGCACCATTTTAGAATGTTTTGTATTTCTCTTTAAAATAATGATTAATGCTTTGTTATTCACTGTATTGCATACTGACTATGTAGTCTTAAAATACAGATCTGTATTACTTTTTATGGCTGTATAACATACCATTTTCCTTTCATCATTTCCCAGTTCCACATAAAGAGTGTTTCCAGTTTTCTGCTTCTCAATTCTTTAGAGCCCTCCCATGTATGACTATAAATTTATAAAATTCTAAATAAAATGATATAAAGTGAAATTCTGCATTACATCAAAAGCATTATTCATTCTTTGATTACAAAGAATGATAATTGTTTTTCATTTCTAAAAGTTCCATTTAAAAAAATCTATCTGTCCATTCTTAATAATCTCTCAGTGATAGTTTGTCTTTGTAATTGTTCCCTTTTATTATTTGTTTTAAACATTGCATATCATAGCCATTCTTTTTGATCTCTGACAGTACTTGGGGATCTGATTCTGTGGTTTTGTTTCTACTGACTCAGTCATCATGAATTCCTTTCTGAAGTGTTTGGTGATCTTTGATTGTGAGTTTGATTTTAATTGGTTGGAGTTCTGTGGACCTAAAGTGAGAATTTAGGAATTTTTCCTGGAATCACTTCATCTTCCCTTTGAGTTCTCCATGGGGAAGTTCCAGATTTCCTTTTCCAACCTTGCTGCTGGCCTGAGGCTGTTTCCCAATTAACCACTACCCTCTGGCAGCCCCCCCACTCTGCCTGTCTGCCACTCAGGTACCAGCTCCAGTTTAATTCACTTAAAAAAAATTTGAGGAGGACTCTTGGAACTTTTTCCCTTGCCTCTTTTGAGACTAGCAGTGTCTCAGAATAGTGTGTTCTTTCCAATCTTTAGTTCTGTAGCAGAAGACTCTCTGGGGCACCTATAAGCACAAGTTAAAAGTCATTGTTCCAACAGATCTCTGGGTGCCCATCATTACGTTTTCACTATGACCAAGAAGAGGTTATTTCAGGAAAACTTTTTTTCTAGTTTAACTTTGAAAACATAATTTTGATGAGATTTGTCGTTGTAATTATTGGTTACAGTTTAAATTTATACTAGACATGCTGCTTTTTTTTCATTCTTTAAGGTTCTATAAATCTTTGTCATATATAATAGTATTTTTTTTTGTGCGTGTGGTACACGCCTCTCACTGTTGTGGCCTCTCCCATTGCGGAGCACAGGCTCTGGACGCGCAGGCCCAGCGGCCATGGCCCGCTGGCCCAGCCACTCTGCGGCATGTGGGATCCTCCCGGACCGGGGCATGAACCCGTGTCCCCTGCATCCTGCATCGGCAGGCGGACTCTCAACCACTGTGCCACCAGCGGAGCCCCTATAATAGTATTTTAAGAATGTATGATATAGTAACAGTGGTCTTTGCTCCAAAAAGCAAGTCTTTTTGCTTTTTTTATTGTAGCAGTAAACCTTAGAACATTCTTCCTAAGGTGTCTTAAACAGGTTCTTCTTTCACTAGCTTTATATCTTTCAGAATTCAAAATGGAGTAGTTATCCTTTAAAATATATACTGTGGTTATTTTCAGGATCACAATTTCAATAACATTTCCAGTTTTGCTTTGTTGAAGAGCTCAAAATTAATCATGGAATGAACATTTACACAGATTTTATGGTGTAGTAAAGAAAGAAATAATTGAAGGGAAATTTTAGAAAACATTTAATTCCTTGTATCACTGACATTTGGAAAGCAATATTTTGTCAGACAAGTATTGAAGTACAGTTTATGTTGGCAAATGTTGTGATTTTGCTTTTATATTAATTTAAAACCTGAATTACATTAAAGCCCAGGAATGAACTCACTAAAAATGTAGGCTGTGTGATAAGTTTCTGAGCCATCTATGGATTGGGTTTTGAATATGCAAGTTTGTTAAACCATTGGGAATTAAAGATTCCAGCTGAACATCTCAAGTTTCTGAAACAATACATTTTCTCAGACTTCATGGAATTGTTCTGTGTCATTTACACTTGCTTGGCTCAGCAGGCCCAGCAGTGAGGTATTTTTTATTTTATATTTGTTTTTGCAGGGATCTTAGCAACATCAATTGTGAAGAGCTTGGTCCATTGCCTCCTGGATGGGAGATCCGGAATACAGCAACAGGCAGAGTTTATTTCGTTGACCATAACAACAGAACAACACAGTTTACAGATCCTCGGCTCTCTGCTAACTTGCATTTAGTTTTAAAGTAAGTGTTTGAAACAATACATGTTCAAATGCAAGTCTGAACAAGAGAAGACTGATAGATGCTTTTTGTAATAAATGTGATAGAATGTCGGCTCTCTTCAATTATAAATCACTTGTTGAACATAATTTTATATAAGAATATGACAAATTTTACTCTCATGTTTGGGTATTTTAATCCCACTGTGCTTAAGTAGGAACCTGTCCTGAAATGTTAGGAAAAGGGTGTGTATCAGAGGTGCACCGTAGCACACCTGCAGAGACAGGCTACTTTATGGAGTGGATGGATTTTTTTCCTTGAGTGCATCAGAAATAGCTCTAGGATAGCTGAATCTATCCCAGAGGGTTTTCTGATGTGTCAGTTTTGTGCTTCAGCTTTAAGGCTTCTTTCCCATTTGCAGGACTTAGACAGTCATTCTTACAAGTCTTTGTGAATGGGCTTGATGTACCCTGGGTTTTTTTTTCAATTATTAAAATACAGTTGATTTACAATACTGTGTCAGTTTCAGGTATATAGCAAAGTGATTCAGTTTGCTATGTACATATGTAATATATATATTTCAGATTATTTTACATTATATTTTATTACAAGACATTGAATATAGTTCCCTGTGTTCTATAGTAAATCCTTGGTACTTATCTATTTTATGTATAGTAGTTTGTATCTGTTAATCCCATACTACTAATTTATCCCTCCCCACCCTCCCTTTCCCCTTTGGTAACCATAAGTTTGCTTCTTATGTCTGTGAGTCTGTTTTTGTTTTGTATATAGATTCATTTGTATTATTTTTTAGATTCCACATATAAGTGATATATATTTGTCTTTCTCTCTCTGGCTTACTACACTTAGTATGATAATCTCTAGGTCCATCCATGTTGCTGCAAATGGCAATATTTCATTCTGTTTTTATGGCTGAGTGATATTTTAGAGAGAGAGAGAGAGAGAGAGAGAGAGAGGAGAGTGTGTGTGTGTGTGTGTGTGTGTGTGTGTGTGTGTGTGTGTGTGTGTACTTGGGTTGCTTCCATGTCTTGACTGTTATAAATAGTGCTGCTATGAACATTGGGGTGCATGTATCTTTTCAAATTAGAGTTTTCCTATTTTCCAGATATATGCCCAGGAGTGGGATTAGTAGATCATATGATAGCTCCATTTTTAGTTTTTTCAGGACCCTCCATACTGTTTTCCATAGTGGCTACACCAATTTACATTCCCACGAACAGTGTAGGAGGGTTCCCTTTTCTTCACACTCTCTCCAGCATTTATTAATGTAGACTTTCTGATGAACTGTGGGTTAAAAAAAAAAAGTCAGCTTTATTAAAATTTAATTGACACAATAAATTGTACATATTTACAGTGTACAGTTTAAGTTGTGACATATTATATAACTGTGAAACCATCACCATAATGGAGATAGTGAACATATCCATCACCCCCGAAAGTCTCCTCCTGCATCTTTGTAGCCTGTTGGTAGTCCCTCCTCCCATCCCTTCCCTAGCTTCCTGAGTCTGCCGTACAAAATATCACACACTGGGTGGTTTATAACAATAGAAATTTATTCTTTTACAGTTCTGGAGGCTAGAATTCAGAATCAAGTTGTCAGAAGGGTTGGTTCCTTCCGGTGGCTCTGAAGGAAAATCTGTTCCATGCCTCTCTCCTAGCTTCTGGTGGTTGCCAGAAACTTTACTGTTCCTTGACTTGTGGACACATTATCCCAGTCTTCACCTTTGTCTTCACATGGCCTTCTATGATCTATTGTATCCACAAAACTTCTGCCACCAAGTGTGTGGGTTTTTTCCTCAAATATTCCAATTGTCCACGTCTGCAGACACCATCGAGGTTGTACAGCGCCTGAATTCAGTCTAATACCACCTGCAGTTAGTATCAGGCCTCACAGGTTAAGGGCTCAGTCTCACAAGACTGTTCTCACTTCTGATGCCATTTATAAGTCCCAGGCCTCCCGTATTTCTTGCCAACTGGCTATAAATCGAGTTCTCATGACTCTCCTTGGGTTCAATAATTTTCTAGAATGGCTCACAGAACTCAGGGAAATTATTTCTTTACTATTACCAGTTTATTATAAAGGATGCAACTCAGGAACAGCCACATGGAAGAGAGGCACAAGGCAAGGTATGGGGTAGGGGCTGCATAGTGCATCCATGCCCTCTCCAGGCGCTTCATCCTCTGAGCACCCTCAGTGTGCTCACCATCCAGAAGCTTTCTGAACACTGTTGTTTAGGCGTTTTTATGGAGTTGTTATCACACAGGAGTGATCGATTATTAACTCAATCTCGAGTTCCTCTCCCCTTCCCCAGAGGTTGGGGGGATGTACCTGAAAGTTCTAGGCTTCTAATCAAGCTTTGGTCTTTCTGGCGACCAGCCCCCATCCTGAAATTATATAGGGGTCTAGCAAGTCACCTCATTGAAACAAAAAATGCTCCAGTACCCAGGAAATTCAAAGGGATTCAGGAGCTTCTGTATCTTGTACTGGGGACAAAGACCAAATATTAGAACAGAATACACTCCTGTCACCTGTGTCACTCAGGAAATTTCAAGCATTTTAGGAGTTCTGTGTCAAGAACTGGGGACAGAGACCAAAGTGTATTTCTTATTATGCCACACTTTCTTTCCTGTATGTCTGGGTCGAAATTTACCTCTTCTTATAAGGATACCAATTTATTGGATTTAGGGCCACCCTAATCCTGTGTGACCTCATTTAACTTGATTACATCTGCAAAGACCCTATTTCCAAGTAAGGTCACATTCACAGGTGCCAAGGCTTAGGACTTCAACATATTTTTTTGGACACAGTTCAGTCCACACCCCATCTTCAGCCAACCATTGATTTGCTTTTTTTGTCACTATACGTTTGCAATTTTTAGAGTTTTAGATGAGTGGATTCATACAGTATGTACTCTTTGCTTGGTTTCTTTTACCCAGCCTAATTATTTGAGATTCATCTCTGTTGTTGTATGTATAGTTCATTTCTTTTCATTGCTGTGTGGTATTCCATTGTATGGATAGACCTCAATTTATTTGTTTACCTGTTGATGAACATTTGGATTGTTTCACTTTGGGCCATGACTAAACTGTTACGAACATTCGTGTGGGTTTTTTTATTTTTGGCCACACTGTGTGGCATGTGGGATCTTAGTTCCCCGACCAGGGATCGAACCCGCGCCCCCTGCATTGGAAGTGCGGAGTCTTAACCACTGGATTGCCAGGGAAGTCCCGGAACATTTATGTTTAAGTCTTTGTGTAGACATATGCTCTCACTTCTCTTTGATAAATAAATACCCAGGCTGCACAATATGATTGATTTATGTTTAACTTTTTAAACTGCCAGATTTCTTTTTGAAGTGATTATACAATTTGACTTTCCCACTAGAAGTGTGTGAGAGTTGTAGTTGCTCTTGCTAACACTTGGTATGGTTAGTCTTAATTTTGGACATTCTAATAGATGTGTAGTGTTATCTCATTGTTTTTTGGGGTGGGGTGGTCTGTGTTGGGTCTTCGTTGACAGGCTTTCTCTGGTTGCGGCGAGCAGGGGCTACTCTTCGTTGTGGTGTGTGGGCTTCATTGTGGTGGCTTCTCTTGTTGTGGAGCGTGGGCTCTAGGCACACGGGCTTCAGTAGTTGCGGCACGTGGGCCCTAGGGCGTGTGGGCTTCAGTAGTTGATGCACGCGGGCTCAGTAGTTGTGGCTCGCGGGCTCTAGAGCACAGGCTCAGTAGTTGTGGCGCATGGGCTTAGTTGCTCCGCGGCATGTGGGATCTTCCCAGACCAGGGATCAAACCTGTGTCCCCTGCGTTGGCAGGTGGATTCTTAACTACTGCGCCACCAAGGAAGTTCCTCATTATAGTTTTAATTTGCATTTCTCTAATGACTAATGATGTTGAGCATCTTTTCATGTGCTTATTTCCATCTGTATATCTTCTTTGGTGAAATTTTTTGCCTTTTTTAAAAAAACTGAGTTGTTTGGTTTTTTTTTTTTTTTTTTTTTTTGCGATATGTGGGCCTCTCACTGTCGTGGCCTTTCCCGTTGCCGGACGCGCAAGCTCAGCGGCCACGGCTCACGGGCCCAGCCGCTACGCGGCATGTGGGACCCTCCCGGACCGGGGCACGAACCCGCGTCCCCTGCATCGGCAGGCTGACTCTCAACCACTGCGCCACCAGGGAAGCCCCTTTTTTGACTTTTGAGTTTTGAGAATTCTTTAGGTATTTGAAATACAAGTTTTATGTCAGCTGTATGCTTTAGAAAGATTTTCTCTTAGACCATGATTTGTCTTTTCATTTTCTTAACAGTGTCTTTTGAAGAGCATAAGGTTTCTTTGAAATTTCAATGAAGTTCATTTTATCCATTTGTTCTTTTATGAATTGTGCTTTGGGGATCATATTTAAGAAATTTTTGCATAACACGAGTCATAAAACTTTTCTAGTGTTTCAGAAGTTTTATGGCTTTAGGTTTTACATTGAATTAAAGTTTTGTATCTTTAAGTTGGTATACTCAAATTTTTTTTTGTTTTTTGTTTTTGGATAGGATTAATACAGTTGTTTAGAGAGTATTTTTAATATATTCTGTTTTGATTTATATATGTATGTGTGTATTAAAAAACACCTTTATTACAATGTTGTATGAGAGTAGTAAATGGCGATTTGTAATTTTCATCAAAGCTGCATTTTCTCTGGATAGTTACACGTTCTAGGACAAAATTTGGCCTGGTACATAAAAGAGTCACTGTATGTAAAGTAAGTTTGGGTGATTTGTTAGAGAACTGAAAGTTATTTTTGTTTATTTTCTCATAGCTACCATTGCCCTTTATCTTTAGGTTAGGAGATTGTACTCTTGTGTCTGTTGTGTGTAAAATTAAATTCCAGGGACTTCCCTGGTGGCGCACTGGTTGAGGGTCCACCTGCCAATTCAGGGGACATGGGTTCGAGCCCTGGTCCTGGAGGACCCCACATGCCATGGAGTAACTAAGCCCGTGTGCCACAACTACTGATCCTGCGCTCTAGAGCCCACATGCCACAACAAGAGAAGCCACTGCAATGAGAAGCCTGCGTGCGGCGGTGAGGAGAAGTCCCTGCTCGCCACAACTAGAGAAAGCCTTGCGTGCAGCAACGGAAACCCAACGCAGCCAAAAAAAAAAAAAATTAAATTCCAACAGAGTCACTCAATGTTTGCATAGATATCAATAGTGAATTATCTGACTTTTTATTTCCTGATGGTTTATTGGAATTAACTAGTTCATTATATCATAAAATTCTTTTAAAAAATTCTTAGATGCAACTTATATTATTTTTGCTTGGAGAATAAAAATAACTCTAGGCAATGTGCCTTTAAAAATTATTATTATATTTCTGCTGTACTTGGGAGATTATTTTAGTGTATTTGTGGTAAACCATATATGTGCAGTTAGAAGTCACTTTAGCACAACAGACAATGTGATTGTACTGAATGCCACTGACTATAATACTTAAAAATGGTTAAAATGGTAAATTTTGTGCTATGTATATTTTACCACAATAAAAAGACAAGTAGGGGCTTCCCTGGTGGTCCAGTGGTTAAGACTCCACACTTCCATCGCACGGGGCACGGCTTCGATCCCTGGTCGGGGAACTAAGATCCTGCATGTTGTGCAGTGTGGCCGAAAGAAAAGTAGGCACTTTATAAAGCGTTTAGGTTTGTTTGTGAAGTGCTCATTTCTCTGTGCCAGTAACTTGCTGTGACCTCCCACATTCTTGTGGTCTAGACTGTAGCGTGCATAGGAGAAGGGGTCCCTGCCAAGCTGCCAGTTCAAACTGTCTCTTCCAGAGAGACAGACTCTAGATAACAGGCACAGGGTTTGGCCTATGCCTGAATTTTAAAGGGAGAGATGGTAAACTACGCAGAAGAAAATGGAAACAGTATTTGAGAAAGTTGTTCTCAGCAGCTGTATAAAAGTTTTTTGAATAAAACTCTGTTATCCACTTCCATAAGTTCCAAGAAATAAACTTTGGAGCTAGTTAGTTAGTTAGTTTCTTTCTTTCTTTCTTTCTTTCTTTCTTTTTTTGCGGTACGCGGGCCTCTCACTGTTGTGGCCTCTCCCGTTGTGGAGCACAGGCTCCGGACGCGCAGGCTCAGCGGCCATGGCCCAAGGGCCCAGCCGCTCTGCGGCATGTGGGATCTTCCCGGACCGGGGCACGAACCCGTGTCCCCTGCTTCGGCAGGCGGACTCTCAACCACTGCGCCACCAGGGAAGCCCTGGAGCTAGTTTATTCTTGTCAAAAATGTGAAGCTAAGAATATAATAAGGCCTAGAAATGCTATAGGTAGACTTGGTTTAGCGTAGGGTGCTATTTTAAATGTGTAATTGCAATCTCTCTTGTTTAAAATACTTCAGTAATATTTGTTTACTTTTAGTCGGCAGAACCAATTGAAAGACCAGCAACAGCAGGTGGTATCGTTGTGCCCTGATGACACAGAGTGTCTGACAGTCCCACGGTACAAACGAGACCTGGTTCAGAAACTAAAAATTTTGCGGCAAGAACTTTCCCAGCAACAGCCTCAGGCTGGCCATTGCCGCATTGAGGTTTCCAGGGAAGAGATTTTTGAGGTAAACTTGCAAGTCTTGTTTTAAAGTAGAGAAAAATTAATTCAGTGATGTACTCTGTTTTCCAAGTATATTTTGGGGGACTCATATCTCTTTAGAATGGGAGAATTTTCATTAATGTTTTTTTTACTTGTGGGAATAAAGGCAATAATATTGGAGAGATTTAATACACAAGATAAACATTTAAATGCGATGAAGTGTGAGATGTTCTGATTGGGGCAGCTTGGTCCTTGCAGTTGCAGATACTTATTTGTTAATGAATTTTAAAAGACCAGAGATATTATCCATCCCTTATTTTCTAATTCTTCCAAGAGGTTAGGGACTCTTAAGTCAAAAAATCATTACTGTTGGACTACTTCCTTAATTTATTGAAAATCGTCCTTTCTAGTATATCCTTTTATCTTTGGATTTATAGCTTTAATAGCAACTTCAGAGTTCTTTCATAATAAATGGCAGAGGTCCAAGGCAGGGGTTTCCCTCTTACTAAAGTGTTCTGGGGCAAAAGATGCTTGGGAACTTGATAATCCTTCTCCCAAAGGATGAACTTCTTTCTCTCAGGACCATTCTGACCTTTTTTGTAGTCAGTCATTTGTATTTTTAAAATAATAGAAAGTTGTCTGTTTAGTGAAGATCACATTAATGATTTTTTTATGTTCTTTGAAACTTTCTTTTTCTTACCTTACTTTCTACTGGTGTCTGTGACAACTAACTTAAAAAAAAGTGGTAATTCTATCAGATTCTGTTTTTTAATGTGAGTGGAATCATTGCTATGGTTCATAGGACTTAAATATGGAGCTTTGCATTTAGTAGGCTTTTAATATAATATTTATCAAAGGAATTGGTTTCAGTAGTACAGTATTAAGCTATATCCATTTTGTTGTCAGAAGTTCCATGAGGTTTCAAACCCTTGGAGTTTATCCATTGATTTGATTGTTGAACAAATTCTACCTTATTTAAATAAACATGTTTTGTAGGTGGAATGGAGGGAGAGTTTAAGTAACAGGTTAAAAGCACCTAGTAATAATAGTATATTAAACATTTATTTCAGGAATCATATCGACAAGTCATGAAAATGAGACCGAAAGATCTCTGGAAGCGATTAATGATAAAATTTCGTGGAGAAGAAGGGCTTGACTACGGAGGGGTTGCCAGGTAAAACCTTGCTCATCAGTAAATGACGTATGGATCCTTATATTTACAAATTTAAGATACTTCCTGTGGTGTGACTTTCTCATTGATATTTGTTTTCTAGCATAATGTTCCCTCATGTTTGCAATAGAGGGTACCCTAGTAGATACATTTATAATTAGGTTAGGATAGTACTGCTACCAGAAGAGTGTTTGTGAACTCCCGAATGGATCATGTAGTCCAATGAGACTTTCTCTGAAAGCTAGCTGCAACCCTATATGGACTGTTGGTAGGGTCTGCAGGCCCAATATTTTCTCCATTTCTCTCCTTCAGTACATGTTATTCCCTCTGCTTTACATTGTCAGTAACAGTCTTGAGATTTTAATGACGTATTCTAAACTGAATACTGTTTCCCTTTGCTTACACTGCCATGCTTTTCAACCTTGTTAAAGGAATGTTTGTGTCTGTAAGTATGTGTGTATATCATAAGTGGTCCTTAGAATGTTTCAATACAGAAGCTATAACGTTTCTGCTACATTCAAACATCAAGTATTTTTTTTCCAGGTGTGAGAATTCACTTTATGTGAATGTAGCAGAAACATTATAGCTTCTGTATTAAAACATTTTAAGGACCGTCATGATAATTCTGCTTCCCCTAATCTAAATTCAGCCTAAATTAAATTTGTGTTTCCACCAAGTCCCATAATCGTTATTTGGCATTACTTGTTTTCACCTGTAGATATACTTTCATTCTGTGACCTTTTTACCTGCAAATGGATAGTTTCTTTAGTTTGGATTTTTAGCATTTATCACTTGTACATCATACTTAAGGCTTGATAGTTTCTGTGGAATGCTTATGATTTACTCATAAGTAGATTTTGAATGCTTGTTGGGAAAACTTGTTAATTATCTGCTGATGGAATCTAAATGCTATAATTATACGTATAGGCCAAATAAGTAGTTAGTTTTTTGTTGTTTATTTCTTAACCTCACTACTTTCGGGGTTTGGGCGGACTAAATGGGATGTGGTAGTGAACTGCTTTTTCTGATCTTTATCCCATAGTAGAACCCAAAAGTAGAGTTTTGCTTTTATGCATGTTCTAAATACTTAGTAAAACAAAACGAAAGTTGGACTTTCTTTTAAAAAACACATACATGGGGCTTCCCTGGTGGAGCAGTGGTTGGGAGTCCGCCTGCCGATGCAGGGGACACGGGTTCGTGCCCCGGTCCGGGAAGATCCCACATGCCGCGGAGCGGCTGGGCCCGTGAGCCATGGCCGCTGAGCCTGCACGTCCGGAGCCTGTGCTCCGCAACGGGAGAGGCCACAACAGTGAGAGGCCCACGTACCGCAAAAAAAAAAAATAATAATAAAATAAAATAAAATAAAAAACACATACATGCATAAAAAACATACAGGACACATTAGGTGGGAAGGTTGCTTATGTGGAGACCTCACTTTTTCTTTTTAATCTCTACAGTTTTCAAGTACTGTGTTGGCCAAAAAGTTCATTTGAACGAACTTTTTGGCCAACCCAATATTAAATGTAGTGATTTGATTTAGACTCTGTCAAATGATAGGACTTTGAAATATTTTCGCTTAACTACTTTAACAGTGTTTCACTGCATTTCCTAAAAATATATTATTCCATCTGTTTAATCCATAATATCAGAATATATCATTTATGTGCCTTTCCTAGCTGAGCAATGACAGGAGTTGAGACTAGAATGACATCTCCTTAAAGCCTAGACTAGTCATTTTATTTCAGTTTCACCAAGATGAATAACAAGTTGTCTTTCATACTTTGAAAAATATAAATGAGTTAATAAGCTTAAGTTGATAGTACTGTTTATTATGAGGTTTTAAAAACACCGTTGTATGCTTGAAACCAAGAAGTGGTATGGAACATACCCAGAAAATGCAGCTTTGCCCTTGTGTTCCCACCTATACCAAATGCCTTGCAGTTTCTCACCTCTTACATTTTTATCATGGTGTATTTTAGGGTTTACACAAAAAAGATAATGAAGATGGATAATGAAATTTTCTTACTAAAACAATATCAACAATAAAACATACCCTTGTCTGAAAGTAAGAGTAAATTAATGTTATATATCTGTATAAACTAGTATAAATCTGCTATGATTGGAGAGGACCAGGGTGGTATAAATGGACCACATGGGTGTTTTGAAATAATACCATATTCTTCCCTTTATTTTATACTTATTATGAATTACAAATTTGTTTAGCAATTAAAAGTAACAGACCACTGGGCTGCAGCATCTACTGAGTAGTTGGTACTTCTGGATATTATCCTTAGATTTTCTGATGTTAAAATGTCATAAAATTACCCAAAATTGAGTGAGAAGTGACTTCAATAAAACAAGAATTTTCATTTGCTTTTGGGGAATGGTAGGCTTTTCTAATGTGATTTTATATAACTAGTTAGTGCTTTGTTTTATTAAAAACTTCTTGCTAACATGATTAATAGCATATCTTAGTAAAGGTGTATTCATTAACAAAAAATTCCTTTGGCATATCTTGTTTTTTAGGGAGTGGTTATATCTCTTGTCACATGAAATGTTGAATCCTTACTATGGCCTCTTCCAGTATTCAAGAGATGATATCTATACATTGCAGATCAATCCTGATTCTGCAGTTAATCCGGTATGATTGGTGTTTATAATGATACAAATTAAGTTATGACCTACAGTGTTTTTTATCTTTAAATGTCAGTGTAGTTTATGACATAGGATTACTGTCTTTGTCCAAGTCACATCCTTGGACTTGGCAAGTCCTCTTTTAGAAAATGTTCTCAAGTAAATGATCGTGGATATGTGCAACAGTTTGGGCACAGGGAGGTTTACTGCATCACTGTTTATAGTAGCCCCAAGTGGAAACAGCATTGCTGTCCATTAAGAGGGGGTTGATTAAATTATGACATGAAGCAGAATAACATGGTTAAGAGCATAGACTCTGGAATTAGAAAGACATGAGTTCATATCCTGGTCCCATTACTAACTAGCTTTGTGACCTTCATTGACTTAAGCCTCAATTTTATCATTGCTAATAATAATAAATATAGTTTGGACCTGAGAGAGGGGTTGTGACAGTTAAATGAGACCCTGCACATTAAGTATTTAGCACAGTGCTATACATTATTAACCCTATTACATATTACTAAGCACTCAACAAGAGTTAGCAGCTGTTATTGATTTGTTGTTTTTATATTATTTCTGTTATCTTTCCATACAAGGTTATATTATACAGCCACTAAAATGATGTTGTGGGATAATAGTTAATAACATGTAAAGATGGTATTTATTAAGTGAAAAGAAGATTATAGAATAATAGTATGAAGCAAATTTTGGTAAACATGTATATGTGTAAACATTGAAAGGCTCTACAATACTGGTAGTGGTTATCTCTGGGTGTTAGACTATGGGCATTTTTTTTTCTTGTCTATATTTTCTAAATATTTTGTAGCGAACAGGTATTGCTTTTTAAAAAGAAAAAAAACTATTTTTAAGATAAAAGGGAGGCTTAAAGATTAGCTTAAAGATTAGCTTAAAGATTATTAAATAGCGAAGTAAAAGAAGTTGAAAATACAAGCATCCAACTAATAAAACAGTATATCCTAAAAGACCAAATCTGTCTAAACATGGTAGGCACGTTAGATCCACTGCAGGGTATTCTTTATAAAGGGAAGATTTTTAGGTGAAGGTTCTGCTTGGAGAGCTCATTACTGCCACTGTAGTAATGATAGCTCACGTTTGTTGAGCACTTACCATATGCCAGGTCCAGTGCCTTGGGCTTCATCACCTCATTTTACTACTCACAGAGACCCTTTTTAGATACTATTATTACTGTCATTTTTCCGGGTATGGAAAATTAGTTCCACAGGGGCTAAGTAATTTGCCCAAGTATACATAGCTAGTAGCTGGCAGAATCAGGACTCTAGTCCAAGTTAGACATGAAATCTGTCCCTTAAATCTATGATGTTTTGAAGTTCAGTTTCTGGTTAGGTCAAAGGAAGAGGGAGGTATAGAATTGAAAGCTTTTTTCCCATGACAGAGCCAGGATTATAAGGGGCTTAGCAGGAGATGGGAGGAGAGGGAGAGAACAGGATCTACAGGTGATTTAATGAAGCTGCAGAGGGACTGTAGTTTGGGCTTAATTTCTGAGGATAAACTTTACAGAATGACTACCCTTTGAGAGGGGCATTGGCTCTGCTGTAATATTTTATAGCAAAGTATAGTATCTATAGAGACTCTCCCTAATGATTGTTGGGCTTTGATAGGATAACCTATTCCATTTAAATAGTTATAAATTGGAGTATAAGTTGATACTTACTGTTTATTTAAAAAATTACCATTCCTTAAATATTTAATTTTTATTAAAAAATTCCCTGGATAGTATCTACCTTGAGTATTTATATAAACTCTTCTCAATTTCAGGAACATTTATCATACTTCCACTTCGTTGGACGAATAATGGGAATGGCTGTGTTTCATGGACATTATATTGATGGTGGTTTCACATTGCCTTTTTATAAACAGTTGCTTGGGAAGTCCATTACCTTGGATGACATGGAGTTAGTTGATCCAGATCTTCATAACAGTTTAGTGTGGATACTGTATGTATTGAGTCTTGTTCGTTATATTTAGAATCTGAGCTTCTAAAAAAGATACATGTTTCAAAATGGATGTACTTTTTTTGAAATATAAAAAATGATTTTTAAAAGTATTTATACATAATGATTTCCTCAACACGATGCAAGTTGTTTCCATCATGCATGTTAGAATAAGATATTCCTGCTTAAGTGGTGGCTGTTGAAAACATACTTTAAAAAGGGTATTTGTGGGGCTTCCCTGGTGGCGCAGTGGTTGAGAGTCTGCCTGCCGATGCAGGGGACACGGGTTCGTGCCCCGGTCTGGGAAGATCCCACGTGCCGCGGAACAGCTAGGCCTGTGAGCCATAGCCGCTGAGCCTGCGCGTCTGGAACCTGTGCTCTGCAACGGGAGAGGCCACAACAGTGAGAGGCCCGCATACCGCAAAAAAAAAAAAGGGTATTTGTAAGAATCAGTTCTGTTTTTGGGGGTGTCATTCGTTTGTGAAGATACACTGGCCATGATTATTTTTACCAAGTACACGAGTAGCTTTCTCAGTGGGGCTACTCGGGTGTTTAGTCACTTAGGTTACCCAGACTCAAGTAGGGCTTCTTACCTGAAAGCCAAACATTACTGAGTTTTCCCTGTGTAAACCCCAGCTTTCCAGGGCTTTCTCATTACTCAGGAAGGAAAATGTTCCTGGTGTTTATGAAGGTTAAAGCTCTTTGACTTTTCTGCCCCAAAACTAGGAGGTATGGTGGCATAAGAACTAGTAAAAGGAATCTAACCCTATGTTTGCATGTCATGAAACTACCTTAGTTTTATTTGTCTCACCAATTAATACGTCTACAATATCTGTATTTTAGATTTTCCAATGAAGTGTCTTTCCCTGTCTTCCCTTCCTAGTGAGAATGATATCACAGGTGTTTTGGACCATACCTTCTGCGTCGAACATAATGCCTATGGTGAAATTATTCAGCATGAACTTAAACCAAATGGCAAGAGTATCCCTGTTACTGAAGAAAATAAAAAAGAATATGTCAGGTAAACACTTCTGTGTTCTTAAGCCGGAGACTTGTTTTAATGTTCTAGAATGGCGGTACAGAAAAACATTTATGTGTTTAGGTAGTGTTACTTATTGCTACAAAATAGGCTTCTGCAGAATTTAGTGGCTTAGAAACAACCACCATTTTATTATTTCTCACAATCCCGTGGGTCAGAAATTGAGATCGAGGACAACAGGGACAGCACACTTCTCCTCCATGTGGTGTCATCTGGGATGGAAATGTTAAGGCGGCCTCTTCACTCACATATCTGATGCCTCACCGAGGGTGGCTCGAAAGGCTGGGGGCTAGCTGGAATGGACACTGGGTCACCATCTGGGGCTTAGTTCTCACTGTTGGCTGGGCTCTTTGGTTATCCCCATGTGGTATCAGAGGCCCCTCACTCTCACCATGGCCTCTCTCTCTCCTAGCACGATAGCCAGACTTTTTATGGCGTGGCTGGTTTCCCAGAGCACAAAAGCAGTTGCTGGATCTTTTTAAAGCCTAAGCCTGGAACTGGCCAACATCACCTCTGCTGTATTCTTTTGGTTAAAGCGAGTCACATGCCAGCCCAGGTTTGGTGTGGAGGAGGGGCTGTACAAAGGCACACATACCAGGAAACATGGTTCGTGGGGTCACGTGTAGCATAGCTACCACAGCTAGCTGTACAGAAGCACTTTTGTGCTGTATCACTAGGACTTATCCTATTTATAAATAAGCACATTGTGGATTTATATAAGAAATATATATATATTTCTTATAAAAGAAATACAAGGAAATGTTCTTTAAGTTTTATGAAATCACCTGTTGATTGAGGAATTTAGAAGTGTTGAGTTAGAGCATTTGGTTCATGGTATCTAAAGTTCTTCTAAACATTAAACTATGATCAAATTTAGGAGTTTGAACTTCACCATATATACATAGAAACATTCATGTTATACTTTTTTGTACAGAATATGTCCCCAGGTCTTATTGGCTAAAATTTTCTAGTTTATAGATGAGGCCCATCAGTCTCATAGATTGTGAATATTGGTATAGTTTTTTTGGAAAACAATTTGATAACAGCTACCAAAATGAAAACATATATGCAGCTCCATTTTTAGGAATCTATTCTTTGGAAACACATATGTGATTAAAGAAATATGAATAAGGATGTTTAACTAAATACTACTTGTAAAAAAATTGAAAACTGCTAAAATGTTTTTAGAAAGAGAATGGATGATTAAATACATTAAACAGAATATTATGTGGATATTTAAAGAAAGATAGACTCTGCATAAGCTCTCATTTAAAAGGCAAGTCTTAGAAGGAACAAAGTCTGTATTGTTTTATACTCAGAAGATGTTCAGGAAGGCCACTTACCAAATAAAATGTTTGCCCAGGGTGAGGGAGTAGAGGTGATGGGCCTGGACGTAGAGAGGGAAGAGGATAAAAGAGTGGACTTTCAGGTTTTACTCTGTCTCCACATTTAATGTTTTTTTTTTTTAAAGGCCGCACCGTGCGGCATGCGGGATCTTAGTTCCCTGACCAGGGATTGAACCCGTGTCCCCTGCAGTGGGAGCACGGAGTCTTAACTACTGGACCACCACAGAAGTCCCATTAATATTTGATTTTTTAAAATATAATTTTTCTTTTAATAACAAACATGTATTACATTTCTAATTAAAAAAAGAATGAGGGACTTCCCCTGTGGCCCAGTGGTTGGGACTCTGCAGTTCACTGCTGGGGGTGCAGGTTTGGGGTTCGATCCCTGGTCGGGGAACTAAGATCCCCCATGTTGTGCGACACAGCCAAAAAAAAAAAAAAAGAAGAATGAATGGGAATTTCCTGAATTTCAGTAGTGTCTCACTTCCAGGACCTAGTGTGGGCTGCTCACTTTCTAGGATTCAGTCATGTTTATAGCACACAGTAATTTTCCCTTACCAAATAAAGTTTTGAGGGACTTGCCTGGTGGTGCAGTGGTTAAGAATCCACCTGCCAATGCAGGGGACATGGGTTCGAGCCCTGGTCCAGGAAGATCCCACATGCCACGGAGCAACTAAGCCCACGTGCCACAACTACTGAGCCTGCACTCTAGAACCCATGAGCTGCAAGTACTGAGCCTGCATGCTGCGACTACTGAAGCCCACATGCCTAGAGCCCGTGCTCCGCAGCAAGAGAAGCCACTGCAATGAGAAGCCTGCACACTGCAATGAAGAGTAGCCCCTGCTTGCCACAGCTAGAGGAAGCCTGCGCACAGCAAAGAAGACCCAACACAGCCAAAAATAAATAAATAAATAGTTTACAAAAATAGTTTTGAAATTTTAAAAATGACAAAGAAAAACTTTTTACAGGTGTGTAGTTTTGCTGTCCCCTTAAACAAACAAACAAAAAATGAGGTCCCCCAAAGGATATCATTTATATTAAGTAACTTATTTCTTAAAGTAGAGAACTATTTCTCCAAGTTTGGAAAAGGAAATACTGGCAAATTGGGAGTATGAGTAGTTCTGAGATCTGTGAGATGGAGAGGTTTTCCTGGGAAGATAGATTAAAAAAAACAATTTCATGTATAAATTATAAGTCCAAATCAAAGGCGTAAGTAGAGCTACACAAGAGATGTATTTTAGTGTACAATTGTTGCTAAAATTACATCTTCCAGGGCTTTTAAAGCTTATAGGGAAAAATGAGTATTTAGTCAAAAAGTGCTTGCTATTGGCTTTTACTGTTTCTTCTCATTTTGGATTTGGGGATTCTCTTTACCTCTTCTTCCCCCATATGCAACCCACAAAATATAAAGAAAACACCCTACACATTCAGATGATATTTTCAAGTGAAACCAGAAAAATAGTCATTTTTGGTTGAATGGGTTTTTTCTGGTTATCGGCATGCATGCTAGAAGTTGAGAAAGACATTTCATTCTAATTTTAACTTCAGACTCATCTATTCTCTAGCCAACTTCCAGTTTAATAGGACTTTTTCTGATGTGAAGAGTTGCTGTATTGATGCTGCTTTTGTTGGTGGAAGGTTACCGCTTTTTAATTTATGGTGAACTGCCTCACAGCTCAGGATCCATCTATACCTTCAGTAACCTGAGATTCTTTTAGATTTTAGACTAAATTCTTAATGCTAGATGCTTGTAAAGTGCAACGTTGCTAAAGTACTAGAGATTCATAATAATTACCAAACCTGAATATATTTGATCATATGAAACCCCTGTCCGATGTTTCCAGACTCTATGTGAACTGGAGATTTTTACGAGGAATTGAGGCACAATTCCTGGCCCTGCAGAAAGGATTTAATGAAGTAATTCCACAGCATCTGCTGAAGACATTTGACGAGAAGGAGTTAGAGGTCAGTGTATTAATGTCATGACATCATCTAGTATAACAAAGAAAGTTTGGGAATTTTCTGTTACTTAGTTTTAGAGGAAAGCTGTATTTCTGGTGCTTTTGAAGTTTTATGATGTGATGCTGTGAGAATTCTAATTCACAGGAAAAGTCTTTCCTGCTTTTGGAAAAGCCTTTCATGTTTTGGAAATTTTACAAGTAACCAGTCTCTCTTATATTGTGACTATTCTTAATTTATTTTTCTATATTTTCCGTTCATGTGTTTTATAGATTTCGTGTCTTCTGTGTACATTCTTCCGGTGTTGTTTCTGTTCCCTAGTTAAGTGGGTATTGATTTAGTTAAATAAAACTTTATTAATTGGTCTCCACCATATTGACATTTATTTGGAATAAAAGCCTAGGCGTAATTGGATTTACATTAAGCTTTGTAAGAAAGCAGTTGATAGACAAAAACGTAGAGGAAATAATTGAAACACTTAGGTTAAACTCTGTCTCAGCAACCTCAGTCTCCTTGGAAACATTCATTACTAATAGTAACTATAATAAACAGTTAACCATTTTTTATTCTAAAACTAGTCCTTAAAGCACCATAGGGTTGGTGTTATAATTAAGACCTTTAACAAATACATCTCAGTTTCTACTGAACTACTTTGAAAAAACGTTTTATTCTACCTGAGGTTCCAAATTTAATTAGTGCCTAGGGATAGCATAAATATTTGAAGTCGATACATAATTTAAAACATGATTTTATTCATTAACTTCAGCATCCTTTCTAACTAAATCTGTTAACAGACCTGTTAGCAAACAAGTCTAAAAAGACTGGCTTGACTTACTACCATCCCCATTCCTTTTTTGATTGGACTATTCTGTAGTGAAATGACCAGAAGGAAGTAGTCAGAAGGAGGAAGAAAACATAGCAGG